ATCCATTTACCACACACTGCAAGGACAAAGCTTTTCCTACCCACTTAGTTCCTCCTGGGAGCTTACTCCCTGCGTGACCAATGTTCCAACACAAGTGCTTCCTTCCTTGCTTTGTCCCTGCACGAGGTGGTCAGCGTGGTGAGAAGGGACCTGCAGTAGCCTGAAGGACTCAGCTGCAGGGATGGACAGTGAGGGGGAGGCTGAAGGCAGGTCACAGCCTCAGAGAGAGGAAACCAGAAGAGCGTGTACCTGGGCAGGGTGCAGAGAGGAGGAAGGCCTGCCATTGAGAGATAAAGTGGCAGGAAGTCCCACGGGACCCAAGATGCTGTCAGTGTCCACTTGAAGATGCTGGCCATCCTCCTGCCATTCGCTTTAGAGCACAGGTGGGAGAGGTGGTCGCATTTGATCACCCAAATTGTAATAAGGTGCATCTGCTTCTTCAGCCTGGCCTGGTGGCATTGCACTGGCACGTGGGATTTGTGTCACCTGTCCTGCAGGCTGGTCTTCCTCATCTTCATCCCGTGGGTGGTGGACAGGGGTGCTCACCATGCTAAACTGCTGAGCCCCATGTCCTTCTGCTCTTTGCAGCCAGAATTTCTAGAGTGGGCTAAAGGAGTAATTCTATAGAGGCCACAGTGTCTAGCAGGGAGGAAGTGGCATTGTATTTGGGGGTGGTTTTGTGCCGCATTTGTGAGCAGAATTATATTCCTGAGTATGCTGGTGTAATACTACATGCAGTCTGCTTTGAGTGTGGTCTGTTGATGCCTGACCTGCTAGTTTTTGTCACTTGCTATAAAAGTTTAGAGTCAAGTTGACCAGGGATGGGTGGTCTGCAGGTGGACATCAGCATCATCAAATAGTATAACTAATATCTTGCCATTGCCTGACAATTGATATTTTCAGAAAGATTTCCCCTATCATCACATTTGAATTAGACTGTAGCCAGTGTTCAGCTGACATCCATGGAATCCTGGATGAATCCTGGATGAATCCTCAGTGTTGTGTATGTCTAGTGCCTTGGCCCACCAGGGGTGTTCAGAGATGAATAAGACCCTGGACCTCCATAAAAGGTGCTTACGGGGGAGACACATGCCTGTGCCCAGGATACAGGGAGTGTGTGCCAGGGCAGGGGGAAGGAAGGAGAAAAAGGCTGTGCGAGGAGCTACATAGACTGTGGTTCGACTCACACTTGTCTCCTTGAGTGCTTGTAGTGGCCACAGTTGAGACATGGCCCTACTCTGGAGGTGCTCACAGTTCACCAGGGGAGGCAGGCAGAGGCCTCGGCCCTACTCTGGAGGTGCTCACAGTTCACCAGGGGAGGCAGGCAGAGGTCTCGGCCCTACTCTGGAGGTGCTCACAGTTCACCAGGGGAGGCAGGCAGAGGCCTCGGCCCTACTCTGGAGGTGCTCACAGTTCACCAGGAGAGGCAGGCAGGCAGATGCCTTGGGAACCAGAAACCTGGTAGGTGCCATGTCCAGTGGTGAGCCCACTGTCACCATTGCTTCCACATCTACTGGATCCCAAAGGTTGGAGGCCACACCTGGCCCACCATGGGCCAGTAGCGACTGTTACTGCCTCCCAGCAGTAGCTGGGAGCACCACTGGTTTCCAGAGTTTGGAGCCTGCTTACCTGGGCCTTAAAGATGAGTGGTAAGGCCAAATTCTGCTGTGTTCCCATTTCACTGCTTGGTGGGCACAAACAGCTCCAAAGTGCCAGTGAAGATATATGGTTCACGCAGAACTGATACTTTCCTGCCTTGAGGGTGGCCTAAGTTGTATATAAAATCATTAGACAGGAAGAAATGCTGGCTCAGTGCCTGTAGCACAGTGGTTATGGTGACAGCCACGTACGCCAGGTCTGGCGCATTCGAACCCAGTCTGGGCCAGCTTAAACAACAATGACAACTGCAACAAAAAATAGCCAGGCATTATGGCGGGCACCTGTGGTCCCAGCTACTTGGGAGGCTGAGGCAAGAGAATCGCTTAAGTCCAAGAGTTGGAGGTTGCTGTGAGTTGTGATACTCTATCAAGGGTGACATAGTGAGACTGTCTCAAAGAAAAGAAGTGCTGATGCTTTTGAACTACATGATGCTTTCAGTTTCATAGTGATAGAGACAGTCTGTTGACTCTGTTGCTTACTAGGTGGAGAAATGCCAGCTGTCCAGTAGCCTCCTCCCAGACACACGTGTGCTCACACATGCACATACACACGTGCACACACATGCATTTCCTGACCATTAAAGAGACAATGGAAGGGAAGGGGCGTATAGGAAGTTTCTGGGGGTGTTGGAAATATTCTATGTGTTAGGTTGTTTGTCAAAACTCATGGAATGGTAGACAATAATTTATGTGTTTCACTGTAACTTTTGCCAGGAAAAAATAAGTAAGCAAATAAATAATGAACTAATGATATGGAGAATGAAGTATTGAGAGGTGAGGTAGACCGCTGTATGGAACTTTCTTTGAAATGCGTCAAAAATAATGTAGATTGGTAGAGGGATGGATAGCAAAATGCTGACGATGATAGAATTGGGGTGGTGAGTATACAGATGTTTCCTATATGGTCCTCTCAGCTTTTCTGCAATTTTAAAGATTTTTATAATAACATGTTGAGATAGAAGAAGAAATAACCAATACTGGAGCTTTCTGCAAATGAATTCCTCCAGCAGTTTCCTGGCTGACACAATACCAAGCTTCCTGACGTAGGTGAAGAGCTCAGCGTCCTTGTGTAGTGTTTTCTCTTTGAATTGGTTGGTGTGGGAGGCATTTCATGAAGGATGTGTTAGCGTAGCCTTCCTTTGATGGTGATGCCATTTATCAATCTGAAAAATGAATTCTGAAACACAGTAGGCAGAAGGCTGGGGGTTTGCAGCCTGAAAACAGCCTGACGTATGGGCACCAGAGTCAGAAAAGGCGGCTGAGCTCCTGCTGCCCAAAGGATGAGAGTGGGTCACCCTGCTGGGTGCTGGGGCAGCTCTTTCATGTTTGTGTGCACACGTGCGTAAAATTGATTTTTCAAACAATTTAACATTATATATTTAAACATGTTTACTTTTTTGAGACTAGACTTTTTTCCAGCTATAAAGTAATTCCTGCTCTCCCATT